TGACCTGAGTCGAAGGCAGACGCTTAACCATCTGAGCCACCCAGGCGCCCTATTTATTTTATTATTTTTAAAAAAGATTTTATTTGTCAGAAAGAGAGTGCGCGCACAAGCAGGGGGAGCGGCAGGCAGAGGGAGAAGTGGGCTCCTGGCTGAGAAAGGAGGCCAGTGCAGGACTTGATCCCGGGACCCTGGGATCATGACCTGAGCCGAAGGCAGATGCTTAACCAACTGAGCCACCCAGGCATCCTGAAGATACTTTTATTAGGAAGAAAAAACATGTGCAAAGTACACAGAGAAGCTTTATTATTGTTAATCCACTACCAGTCTTCTTTCTCATCCCAACTTCCTGATAAAACACTGGTTCTCAACTCTGCACATGATTTGAATTACCTGGGAAGCTTTTATTTTATTTTTTAAAGATTTATTTATGTGAGAGAGAGAGAGAGAGTGCGAGCACGAGTTGGGGGAGAGGCACAAGGAGAGGGACAGAGAGAGAAAATCCCCAGCAGACTCCCCGCTGAGCACGGAGCCCCATGTGGGCCTTGATCCCCCAACCCTGAGATCATGACCTGAGCCGAAATAGAGTCAGATGCTCAACTGACTGAGCCACCCAGGTACCCCAAATCTGGGAAGCTTTTTAAAATGCCAGTGCCTTGTTGTTATGAACACTGGGTGATTAAAATAAAAACTTAAGGAGCATCCGGATGGCTCAGTTGTTTAAGCATCTGACTCATGACCTCAGGGTTGTGAGATCAAGCCCCACATTGGGCTTTGCACTGGGCGTGGAGCCTGCTTAAGATTCTCTCTCTCCCTCTCCTCTGCCCCCCCATTCTCTCTCTCTAAAAAAAAAATTAAATAAAAATAAATAAGTCAAAACTTTAAAAAAAAGAAGAGAGAATCTGAAAAAAAAATGCCAGTGCCTGAGCCCCATCCCAGCCCCACCCACAACTGAGTCTGGATCTGCGGAGGTCAGGCTGGGCATGTGTAGTTTGTTAAATCTCCCTGGGTAATTCTGGTGTGCAGCTGGAGTGCAGTCCACTGACTATAATTTCAAGGTAATTAAATGTGAATAGGTCAAAATGATATAACTATATAACTAATTACATTCAACCTCAATAATTGTTTCTAGCTGATTGTGGTAGGGAGGGTGTTGGCCATGGAAAGCAGCTAATTAGGGGAAGGAATGAACTGTGCAGGATCAAAGGAAATTTCTCTTTGTGGCGAGGCAGTATAATCGAGTAGAAAGAGCACTTCCTTCGGAGTCAGATTTGAGTTGAATCCTGTCACTTGGCCAATCTGGACTCATGCCTCACTTTTCTCATCTGTAGAATGGCAACAATAAACCTACCTTGTAGGGTTGTTGTGAAGATCCCAGATAATGTATGCTAAATGCTTGGTCCTTGGTAGGAGAGTGGCAGCACTATTAATTTGTAATAACAACAATCTAACTTTGAAGAATTTATTCTAAAGAATGGGGACCAAGATGTGCCCCTAAGAGGACCTGCACAGGCCCTGAACTACTTAGGTCTCCCTGGAGGAGAAAATCCTAGCACTCAGATTCCAAGCCCTGAGGATGGGGTAAGAAGGAAACTTGCCAAGAGCCCAAGGAGATAGCACAGAGAGGAGTTGTGGGGACTTGTCCATACTGGACTGGCCAAGGCCGAATGCAAATCTCCTGTGGTCTCAAAGCTCCATCAAGGGGAAGAGGCCCCATGGCACTAAGGGAATAATGCTACAAAGACAGAAGCTCTGTGCTTGCAGAAGAGAGGGAGAAGCAGCAGAGGACTCTGTAAGTAGAAAAAATGAAAGAAGAGGATGTTTGTCCTGAGATGTAGGTGCTTTCCCCTTCAATTCCACCTTCAACCACTGCTGAAACACGCGACTTCCCCTGAAAAGCAGTCACAGAACACTGAAATAGACCCCTCTTCCAAAATCAAAGGAATGGACTTGCATACTAGCAACGCTTTACTGGGCTAAGTACTTTACAGTTTATCTCAAGCATTTGGAGTTTCATGTCAGCTTCACCCCAATCCTTCAAAGTGGCTAGGGCAGAATATCCACTTTCCAAAAGAGAAAACTGCAAATTTGCTCCAGGATGAAGAGCCGACAGTGACTGAACTAGGGCTTGTATCCTGATAGAATTCTAAGGCGGTGGGTGACTTTTTCTTTTCTTTTCCTTTCTTTTAAAAATTAGTTTGATGTCCTTTGATCCTTTGTCCTTTGAAGGATTGGCGGAGCACTCTGCCCGGAGCTCTTTTTAATAGGGCAGCTACCATTCTTTAAGCCTATTCTCTGTACAAGAAAGACCCTGTGGCAGGCATTCTATATGGGCTGTATAAATTGATTTAATCCACTTCCCTAGCTCACGACTCTAGGCAATATAAATAATTAGTGTCATTTTACAGATGTGGAAAGCAAAAGTTTGAGAAGTGAAATGGGTTGTCCTGGGTCACAAAGCCTGTTGGTGGCAGAACCAGGACTTGCCCCCAGGACTTCCCACTTTAATTTCAGTTTCCTTCTTCTGCAGCCATACTCCTTAGCTGATGTTTATGGCCACAAAGTGGAACTCCAGTTTATCCACCCTCAGTGACATTGCCTAATCTCTTGGAACCCCTCTATTAATGTATATAAAAAAGGGATAATACTATCTATAGCATAGGCTTATGAGAATTACAGAAGATAATTTATGCAAAATACATTGTAGGTATAGGTAAATGGTAGTTATTATAATAATGAGGCAGTTTGTAGCCAGTGGTCAGACTTTTTGGGTTCAAATCCCAGTTCTGTCACTTGTACCTGTATGATGTTAGGCAAGTTACTCAACCTCTCTGTGCTTTGGTTTCTTCACCTGTGGAATGGAGCACACCTACCTAATAGGGTCGTTGTGAGCAGTAGGCAAAACAACTCAGGTGAAGTCTGCACATCGTAAATGATCAATAAATACTTGCCATTATTAGTATAAGTTCTCCCCTACCCTATTTAATAATTCAATTTGCCCTGAGGTCACTCTTATTCTGCTTTCCCCCATTAAGATTTATTACCTTCTAAGATAATGAATAATGCAATGAGCCATCCCCACTCTCTTTCATTACACTCTGCTTTTTTTTTTTTTAAGATTTATTTATTTTAGAGAGAGAGAGAGAAAGAGAGAGTGCGTGGGAGAGGGAGAGAGAGAATCTCAAGCAGACTCGACACTGAGCGGGAGCCAGAATTGATTGGGGCTCCATCTCATGACAGTGAAATCACTACCGCAGCCGAAACCAAGAGTCGGAAGCTTCACCGACTGCGCCATCCAGGCACCCCCATCACACTCTGCTTTTTTTTTTTTTTTCAGTCCTTCAGTCCTTTTTTTCTCATTTCTTACATGATCACTGTGTCCTAAAAGGATACAACTGAGCAAACTCCAGATGGAACAGAGGCAAAGGGAAGGGGAGCAGAGCTTCCGTGTTCCTTGCCCCCTCTCCAGGAACGCCTCTGTCCCCACAATTTCAGGCGATCAAGCAACCTGGAAGCTCCCCGAATTAGATTAGTTCTTCTTCGAAGGGGCGGGGTTCGGGGTGGGGAAGGTTGGGGAGCGCCGAGGCTTGGAAACATTGCAGGGCAACCAAGGCTATTGCCAAATTTCGAGTCAGTGCAGAGGTACGTAAGGTACATGTAGGGCAGGGATGGGGGGCGGGGTGGGGTGCGCGCGCGTGGCGGGGAGGGTTGCGGTGTGTGTCCATGTGCATTCAGCAGGTGTAGGGGAGGAAGAATGTTCCCTCTACTCCCCTTCTGAGTTGTTGGCTGAGACCCCTGTCAGGAAGAGACAGATCACGGGGGAGAGAAACAGTCAAATGACACATGCAGCGCACATCAGGCAGGAGAAACCTGCACCAGAAGTCACTCAGAACAGCCGGCGCCTCGGAATTCCCGTTTCTATAGCACGTCTTCCACAAAGAAAGATCACGCTGTGGAGAAATGACAGGAGAGAGCAAAGCAGTTTTAGGCTTCTGAGCTCAGCTCACCGTGGGAAGGCCAGTAGATGGAAGGAAACTGACCAGGGAAGGTTTTTCTGGGCAGGTTCTTCTGATGCCCCCTCGGGACTGATGAGAATGTCTTCTTTTCCTCCCCTTCCATGGAGGGAGGGTGCCTTTCCTAGGCGAGTTTTCTCTCTTCCTTTCAGGTCAGGAAGCCAAGGGAGAGGCAGAGTGTCCTCCTCAGGGCCGCTGTTTCTTAAGCGCTCCCACACTCTGCTTTTATTCTGGAATGTTACCTATCATCTTCTATAGTGCTAAGTTATTTACTGCTTATTGTTTGTTTCCCTGCAGGGCATGGATTTTGTCCTTTTTTCCTCAGAGATATTTGGAGCACCTGGAACAGTGCCTGGCACGTAGTAGCTGCTCAATAAATGTTAGCCGTTATTATGATAAAATCTATCTTGACTCCTCTATTTAAGAGTCCTCCCGCTGCTTGCTCTGAATTCCTAATTCCCCTTAACCACCTTTCCTTTTTCTTTTGTGCAATAGCATTTACTACCTTTCAACACACCACCTAACTTACTTATTAAGTACTTTTATTACTTATGGTTAGTTTTCTCCCTCCACCATCTAGATTGTAAGTCCCATGAAAGCAAGAAGGTTTGTAGGGTTTTCCCACTCGTGTATCTCCAACACCTTGAACACCTTGCCTGGCATATAGTAGGTGATTAGCAGAATATTTGTTGAATGAATTCTATGTGGCGGAGCGTCAAAAGCACTGGGCGTGGAGTCAGAAGACCTCCTGGGACTGCCACTGAACTCTTTCGTGTGTCCTTAAACGGGTTCCCTCCCCACTCCGGGCCTCAGTTTCCCCTCCCAGCTCAGACCCTGCTGGTTCCGCAGCGGCTCGCTCCATACAGCTGGGCGGTGTCGCGCCAAGCGTGGCCGCTGGGGGGCGGTGGTGTCCAGCGCCCAGCCCCGCCCACTTCCCCGGGAGGGGGCGGCCGGGTGGGACCCGCCCGGTGGGACCCGCCCGCTCCCGGAGTGGAGGAACCGGGTCCCCGGCGCAGCTGTCCCAGTTGTCCGCGCGCCTGCCCGCCGGCCCCCGGAGCCCAGCCATGTCCTGCTACATCTACCAGCTGCCCGCCTGGGTGCTGGACGACCTGTGCCGCAACATGGACACGCTCAGCGAGTGGGACTGGATGCAGTTCGGTGAGTGCACCCTCTCCCCCGCGACTCCGCCCCTAAGCCCCCTGCCCACTTCTGTTTAAGTGGGTCCTGAACCGAGGGGCTCTTTGTGCTGCCATTCCGGACCGGGGTCTCGCCGTGTGTCCTCGGGCCGGCCACCGCCCCTGGTCTGGACACCCTCTCCGCCCCCTCCACGGGGATCGTCTGGAAGGTGTTGGGTGATCTTTGAAGATGTCTGTTGTTATGTTAGTCTGTCCCTAGGTAGTGAGCGGTTCGACTTTGCTGTTTATGGTAAAGCTTATCATAATAAGCTATCAGCAATTGCTGTGCGTTTTTGTTTACTGAGCGTCCGGCCCTAATGGAGGCACTTGGAATGGCTTATGTCCCTGAGTTCCCACAACGGCCTGTGAAGTGCGTATTTCTCCTACCCCAGTGTACAGACGAAGAAACGGATTGAGAGAGGTGGAGTAACTTACCTGCGGGCATGGCCTTGCCAAGTGGCAGAGTGGGATTTGAACCCTGGTGTCTGACTCCACGAGGACGTCGTAGGTCCTTGGTGTGTTTTGTTTGTTTGTTTGCGCCTGATGATCTGCAGAGAGGGCCTGACATCTGGGGGGCCGCCGCCCGTGTGGTCCTAGGGTTCCCAAGCAGAGGTCTGTATTCCAGGCTCCACCTCCTCCCAGCTGGTGACTTTGGACATTCTTTGCTTAACCCCTCTGAGCCTCAGCTTTACCTGTGAACTGGAGGTTCTTGTGAGTAATGACAATTGTATAATCTGACACTTAAGTGCCAGATTCTAGTAAGTAATAAGGAAATATTAACAATGATTATTTTTATGTTGGAGGCCAGTGTAACTGGTGCCACTTTATTTAAAAAATAATCTCTATATTTTCTTGAGAATTTAGATTATGATATGCATATGTATGTACTCCTGTATATACCAGAGTATATGATATATATGTATAGTATATGCTATATATGTACATATATGTATATGTACAGTTGAAAAAAATAATAAAATGAACATGTATAGGTTATCCATCCAGTTTGAGCAAATAATATACATTTTAACCTAGTGGTTCTCAACCAGGGACGATTTTGCCCCCTGGGGAACAAGTGTCTGGAGACATTTTTGGTTATCACAACTTGGGGCGTGCAGTGAGTAAAGGCCAGGGATGTTGCTAAATGCCTTACAATGCACAGGACAGCCCCCTTCACATAGAAGTGTCTGGCCCAAAGGGTCAATAGTGCTCAGATTCAGAAATCCTGTTTTAAACCGGTAACGAAAATAATACATGCTTATTGCAAAATGCTGTGGGAAACAAAGATTAGCTCAAATTCCACCACTCAGGGATAACCATTCTTATTTGGATGTCAATAATAATAATAATAATAAACGGCAACAGCAGCAGCTAACATTTCATGGTTCCTTACTACGTGCTAGCAGGTGCTATGTGGTTTATAGCTTCTAGTATATTATAATAAACATTTATGTGCATACAGTTTTCAAAAATCAGATATTTTGTACATTCTAATAGCTTGCTTTTTTTCACTTAAAATATTCCCATTTTTTTCTCCTTGCCAAACAGTGTTCTTTAGCAACATGGATTTAGGTTTTTATTTTTAGCATGTATTTTTGTTAACGATTTTTAATGGAGAGAAGCAACACATGCATTTACAAGTGTAAATAATACACCAGGGGTAGAGAGGAAGGTAAATGTCTTTCCTCTTCCTGGTCTTCAGCCTCCCCCGTCCATCCCCCAGAGGCAGTCACTGGTAACATGTCAGGACACCCCTGTCTATTACCACCTGGTTTTCTAGACTGCAGTGTGTTCCTTTGCTCCAATGACCTGTGACTTATCTACTTTGAATGTTTCCTGGGCAGTGGACAAATTTTGTATAAGAGACCCCTCTAGTTTTTTGGTTTTTTTTTTTTTTCATGTTGGCCTTGACTGTAAACATCAGAGCAACTTCTGTTCCTAAGATATTTAGGAACCTGTGACTTTTTAAAAGCAGCTTTATTGGGATATAATCCACATACCATACAATTCACCCTTTTAAAGTGTACGATTCAATGGCATTTTGTATGTGCAGAGTTGTATATCCATCTCCACAGTCAATCTTGGAACACTTTTTTTTTTTAAGATTTTTTTATTTTTTATTTGACACAGAGAGAGAGAGAGTACAAGCAGGTGGAGCGGCAGGCAGAGGGAGAGGGAGAAGCAGGCTCCCCACTCGGCAAGGAGCCCGATGTGGGGCTCCATCCCAGGACCCTGGGATCACGACCTGAGCCGAAGGCAGTCGCTTAACCAACTGAGCCACCCAGGCGCCCAGTAATATAAAATTTCTTAAACTGCTTTGTGTACGTACAGAAAATACCTTTAAAAGGAAGTACAAAAAACTTGTAGTACTTCTCGCCTCCGCGGACTTTTCCTGGGTGGCTGGGGGAAACTAGGAAGATAAGGCAAATTTTGCGACTTTATTATACTCTTCTATACAAAATTCGAGTTGACCCAAAATGTAGACTAAACGAACGAGAAATTTATTAAATAAATAATAGCGCATATGGTAGGGAGAATATGGCAAAAACCATGAAGGTATCAAGAGAATGAATGAAGTTAAGGAAATGCTGTGTCAAAAGCTTATTGGTGCGAGAAAAAAAAAATCCATTTTATAGAGGAAACCCGCGGCTGAAGTAGCCTGACACCAGCCTCCGCCTCCTGGATGCTCGGTTCCCGTGGCCGGAGGTCCCACCTGCGCTTCCGCCCAGTTTCAAGCCCGCCATTTCTGTACACTATTCCATCCCCGACCGAGGGCGCGCGAAAAGAGCACGCACGCTTGCGGGGACGCGCACGCACGCACGCTCAGCTCCGCCCCGTGAGGCCCGCAAATCCCGAGGCGGCGAGGCTCGGGTTGTCTGGGCTGCGGGAGGTGATGCCCCGGAAGGCAGGGAACGTGGAAGAGGCTGAGGCAGGTGCGGAGGAGGTGGGCGCCGAGGAGGTGGGCCCTGAAGAGTACGGCGGGGAGGAGTCGGGCGCCGAGGAGTCCGGCCCGGAAGAGTCTGACCCAGAGGAGCCGGGCGCCGAGGAGGAGATGGAGGCCGGGCAGCCGCGGCCGGTGCTGCGCTCAGTGAACTCCTGTGAGCCGTCGCAGGTCATCTTCTGCAACCGCAGCCCGCGCGTCGTGCTGCCGGTGTGGCTCAACTTCGACGGCGAGCCGCAGCCCTACCCGACGCTGCCGCCCGGCACGGGCCGCCGCATCCACAGCTACCGAGGTAGGCGGGCCGGGGTCGCCCTGGCCTGGCCCGGCCCGGCCCAGCCCGACCGCGCCAACCCCCTTTGTCCCGGGGCACAGCGAGCGCCTGCTGGTGCCCCTGAGAGGTTGTGACAGATCCGGGTTAACGCTGCTAGGAAGTGGCAGCGAATTCTCTATAGGACCGAATAATGATCATGTGAGGTGACTTTTTCCCCTTACACGTGTATTTACCACTAAAAGTGCTCCCTACCTAATGCCTATTAGTTCAGTCCGTGAATGGGAGAATGTCACATTCTCCAAGGTCCCCAATGGGCCAGGTCCCTGCCTCCGGGAGAACACAGGCCGGGGGCGGGGACGGACGACCGCATACACAGATAACCAGCCAGTGTCCCAGTTGCTGCTAGAGGAACGGAGCACAGCGGAAAGTGGGAGCTTGGAGCAGGCTCCTGCTCAGTGAAGGAAGGGGGTGTGTAGTTTCACCTAGAGCTTCCCTGAGCAGAAGAAAAGGAGGCCCGCTGGATGCATAGGGGGTAACCGACACAAGATAGGAGTTGAGAGTTGTAGCTAGAGGGAACCGCTTGGGCTAACAACACCTGGAGTCTTGGGAGAAGGTACGGAATGGTGGGAGAGGAAGCCTGAAAGATGATTTTTCCCCTGGGGAGTGAGGGGCCATTGCGTTTTTAAGCAGGGAAATGACAGTGACAGATTTTAATACTGAAAAGCTCCCCCCGGGTTGCACAGCGGTTTGGAGAGGGAAGACTGCTGGTGAGGAGCCAGTTAGGAAGCTGTTGTAATAACCCAGGTGAAGGATAACTAGGCCTTATAGCTAAGGAGACAGTGATCTTCCCATAGCTTTCAAAAAGAGAAGTAGTACTCGGTTATTTTTCACAGCCATCCTGGGAGGATCCCAGTGGATCCTTTTGCCTTGAGAAGGGCGTACTCAGAAATGCTTTTCAAATGTTTACACCAAACTTCCCTTGATATTAAATGAGGGAGAACACAATTCTTCCAGGGATCAACATTTCTGTAGTCTCCTATTTTATCTAAGAAATTGTGAATTTCTTCTCCAAAATTTATCTGTGCCTGATTTAATATAAAATTTTAAAAAAATTACTATGTGGATGTACTTAATGTCACTGAACTGTACACTTAAAAGTGGTCAATTTTATGTATGTTTTACCATAATAAAAAAAATTACTTACCAGTTACATTTCTTAAGTTTTTCCACCAAATCTTCAAGTAAGTTTGTGCCCTAGGAACACATGATGTATTTAACTAATTAGTTAATTGATTAATTTTTAATGATGTCTTTATTCAGACACAATCTCTACCTCCCTTAATAGAATGTTAGGTCTGGGCGGGGGGGTTCCCTCCTTTTTCCCCTCCCTCTTTTTTCTTGGCATATGATGTATTTGTTTCTTAAATTCAAGTATAATATACATATAGTAAAATGCACAGATCTTAAGAGTTTGATGTGTTTTTGACAAATACAGCAACACCTAGGTCAAATTCTATATTAAAACATTTCCATCATTTCAGAAAGTTCCCTCCTGTCCTTTTCCACTCAGTCCCCTCTCTTACAGAGGCAACCATTCTTTGGGTTTTTCACACCATAGATTAGCTGTGTCTTTTCCTACAGAATGTACCCTTTTCTGTCTGGCTTCTTTTTGTCAACATGATGTTTTTGCACTTTCTTGTTCTTGAGAAGCACAGATGTAAGGAGCTGATGAAGTTCTTTGTTTTAGTTTGCAGTGTGTGGTGTGATTTGCAATTCATGTACTTTGCTTTTTGACCATGGTAGCAGAAAAGGCATGGTATTTGGAGCCTCAAGTACACACCTTTTTTTTCCTTACTGTCCCTGTTCCCTTGAGCAAGTCGCTTGGCTTTTTTAGACCTATTTTCTCACATATAAATAGATCTATTGTGAGGATTGAGTAAGATAATATTATTGGAAGGGCTTTGTCCGATATTTAAGCAGAATGAGAGGCAAGTACTTCAGTGTCAGTCCAGGAAGATGAAGGAAATGGGTGTGTGGCTACCTAACAGCCTCTGCTTGTTTTAACAGGTCACCTTTGGCTCTTCCGAGATGCAGGGACATATGATGGGCTTCTGGTTAACCAGACTGAGCTGTTTGTGCCATCTCTCAATGTTGATGGACAGCCTATTTTTGCCAACATCACACTGCCAGGTACTGATGTTCCATTTTACCTTTTTTTTTTTTTTTAAGATTTTATTTATGTATTTGTCAGAGAGAGAGAGAGCACAGGCAGGGGGAATGGCAGAGGGAGAAGCAGGTCCCGCTGAGCAAGGAGCCCCATGTGGGACTCGATCCCAGGACCCTGGGATCATGACCTGAGCTGAAGGCAGACGCTTAACCATCTGAGCCACCCAGGCACCCCTCCATCTTACTTTCTAAAAAGATAAGGCTGAGGGTTCTTGGCTGGCTCAGTCTGTAGAACATGTGACTCTTGATCTCGGGGTCATGAGTTCAAGCCCCACATTGGGTATAGAGATTACTTAAAAATAAATAAATAAGTAAAAATAAATAAAAAGATAAGGCTGTTGTAATAAGTAGAGAATAGGCCACTTGAAGGAGCCAGACCTTTATTGGTTTTTACTGGATGCTAGCCAAATTATCAACCTTTCTGTGTCCTATTCTCCACCACAAATAAAATGGAACAGATTTATTTGTATGCTCTATATTGAACAAAGATGTTGTGGTTTCTCAGAAGCTCTTGGGCTTGTCAGAGATGGGCTAAATTAAAATATCTGATTGTAGGGACCCCCAGCTAGCTCAGTTGGTAGAGTATGTGACTCTTGATCTCGGGGTCATGAGTTCGAGCCCCACGTAGAGATTACTTAAAATTTTTTAAAAATAAATAAGTAAATAAAATACCTGATCGTAGAATTATGAATGCGTTGTTTACCTGGCCTTAGAGCAGAATTATGCGCTGGAGTCTGGAATAAGGTATAGAGAATGAGATACCATGGCTTCTAGTGTATCTTTTAATGTTATTTAACCCATTCAAGCTCACAGTGCCAAACAGTTTTAAAAAAATCACTGAATTGAACATTAACATCATAGTTTACCATTTGTTTAAAACTCAGTTGATTTTATTAGGTTGAACCCGAAGAAACTTATGTTCTTGTGGATTAAAAAACCCCAAATACAAGGGCACCTGGCTGGCTTACTCGGTGGAGCATGTAACTATTGATCTTGGGGTTGTGAGTTTGAGCCCCAAGTTGGGTACAGAGATTACTTAAAAATAAAATCTTAAAAACAAACAAATCCAAATACCTGTAGCTTCATACGGTTCAAACTGATACGTATATGTGGATCCTGTTTTAAGGAAGTAGGTGTATAAAAATAGATAAGTTGTTAAGTTAAATTGATAAATGTAAATTTTGCCTTATAGGATACCCTTAAAGAGTAAGTTCCCTAGTGAGTTTAAAATAGAACTGGAGTTCCTCAAAATCCAGTTACAGATTATTTTGGTTATCTATTGCTGTGTTAACAGCTACCCCCAAAGTATTTATTCATAATTCTGCAGTCTGGGCTGAGCTCAGATAGGTGGTTATTCTGCTCATTGGTGGTCATTGGTGTGGCTGACTGCTGGCAGGTTGGCTGGTGGCTGGGCCTCTCTCCCATGCATTCTCAGGGCTTGTTCCTCTTTGTGTAGTCTCTCGTGCAGCGTAGCTCAGGGCTCCTGAGAGTGTAAAAGTGGAAGTTGCCAGGGCTTCTTAAAGGTTAGGTTCAGAATTGGCACAGTGTCTGTTACGTCACCCACATTCATTTAGTTAAAGCACATCACAAGCCCAGCCCACTTGTAAGGGGAAGTTACTACATGAGGTCCTGCATACCATGAGATGTCCATTAGGGCCATCACGTTACACTCTGCCACACACATGTACTCACTTTTTTTGCCCAAAGTGAGGTCTATCTATAGTAAATGGAATTGCTATGGTTGGCAAAGCCTCTTGCTCATCCCTTGTCCCAGGGCTTGAGTCTGCTGCTGAGGATTTGGTTTTCTGCATTTACAGTGTATACTCTGAAAGAGCGGTGCCTCCAGGTTGTCCGAAGCCTAGTCAAGCCTGAGAATTACAGGAGACTGGACATCGTGAGATCACTCTATGAAGATCTGGAAGACCACCCGAATGTAAGGAAAGACCTGGAGCGGCTGACACAGGAGCATATTGAAAATCAACGGCTGGAAGGGGAGACTGAGGATTTTAATTGAAATTTGCACTCCTGAGTCTGAGCCTTTGATGGTACTGACTAGTCTTGATCTACGCTTAGGACTGGTCACTTATTCTCAGATTCAAGGTGTCTCATTCTCAGATAAAAAATCCTCCATTGCTTAAAGGAAAGTTAACTGACTTCACTAGCCGTTGTGATGTTTAGGGGCAAATATCACAAAATGCAATTTAATGCCTGCCCCTTCTAGAAGTATTCATTGGGTAGTTGCATTTTTGCCTCCTAGTAAGTCAGGAAAGTTTCTATGTAAGGACTTTTGTGTAAGTAATTCAATAAGAATTGCAGCATATTCTTTGATTGTAAGAAAGCAGTGGCATCTGCTTTTAATTGCTGTGTTGTGGTTGGCGATGTGTCCGCCTCCTGCTTTGAGAAGACAGAGATGTCCTTGAGGCAGGGACAAGTCTGTCTTCTCTTTGAGACCCCAGTGCCTCACACATTATGATAGCCTTCAGTCAATGTTTGTTGAATGAACAAACCAGTGGATACTTTGGTAGAAAGTGTTTGGAGGTTTTGCCCTTTTTTGGGGGGGTGGGGAGGTGGGGACCTTACAGTGTATAGAGTAAACAAATGTTTTAAAGGGAATCATTTTTATAGAAAGCACTTTTTATAACTTTCTAAATTTTCTGCTTTTTCTCTGTCCGCTGTTGTTGTAGTTCTATTTTATTTGTTTCTAAACCAGGATTAGCTTTCTACAGTTATTGTGATGATCGCCTTTTTGAAACTTGATGTCGGCACAGAAGGTAGGAGAAAATAGCTGTCCTCTTGTTTAGTTCTAGTATTAAGGAACTACTACTGTACTGTAAATAGGTTTTTGCTAAGTGTGGGTATTTCTGTTACTTTTTTGTAAATCCACTACATTTCTGTTTGGCTTAGCATTTTTTTTTTTCAATGCTGCCAATGTTTTAACCAGGGGCCAGTGGTGTTGGGGCAGTGGGGACCACTAAGGGGAGTCACTTGTGGGCTCATCTGGACTTGCAAGGCTCTTAGTTCAACATTTTTCATCAGGTAGGATCTAGTGACACTTTGCACCTGGCTGGAGGAGAGGCAGAGACCCGAGAGGCAGAGACCCTCTACTTCTTGGAAGTTACTCATAACACATAATGGATTCAGGGAGTAGCCTGAAATGTTTTATAGTTTCATAAATGTACAAGTCCTTTCTTATAGGCTGGACTTAAATTGATTAACTCAAATTCAGTACTTCTGTCAGGCTTTCTTTTTTGGTAACTAATAGTTAAAAAAAAAAAAAAATCCCCCCAGTAGAGAAAATTTTGGTAAAGACAGTAAAGTAAAAGAAAAAAAAAGATCACTGTAGATACACTACTTGAATACAGCCCCAAAACATTTTGAACTTTGGCCTTTTTAGGGCATCTTGTGATTGGTTTGGTTTTACATAGTTGAGATCATACTGAATATACAGTTTTGTATTCTGCCTTCTTAGTTATAACTTTATAACTTAAATATTTTCCCATGGTATTATAAGCTCTTTGTAGACATTGGTGCAGTCTTCCTTTTATAAACAATGGGATATTTCTTGGTATCTGTAGTTCCTATACTAACCTTTGAACACAATTCCTGTGCTCTGAAATCAGTGTGAAGTGAGTAAGACAGTGCCCCACCGTTTCCCCTAGATTTTGTTTCACCTCGTCTTAATCCCCTCTTTCAACATTCAATTAATAAGTTGGCCTTTGTTTTTTAAGCATGCTGTAGCACTCATTCATGACACACGTCTTGGTGTCTGACATGTTACTGAGCTGCTGGGCAGGAAGGAAGAAATGCTGGGGAGCAGGCAGTGGTGTGTGTTCAAGGGTAGAATGGGATGGGGGAATGTCAGGAATCCTGCTGTTGCTGGGTTCGTTCAACGTTGGTTTCAATTTTTTTTTAGTCTTTCTTTGTGTCCAAGTGAGATTCATGTTCATCCTGTGAAAACATGCAGTTTGAGTACTGTGTTTTTTTGTGTTGTCCAAGGAGGATTGAAAACCTGTAGCATGAATAATACATGTTTTTCATTTGAAATTTTATGACTGTATTAAATGTATTGCTCCTAAGAGACTGTGATGTTTCCTATTTTGAGTTAAAAAAAAGAAAAAAAGCTGTTCTTGAATACATTAAATGGTGCTGAGCAAAGGAAATAGGTCGGGTGTGTTCTGTGTGGCTCTGTTGTGAGAGACCTGTGTTTCTGTAAAGGCTTAAGTGGGGAAGGGCATTGCAGACATAAGCAACTGTCTTCATGCTTAGGCCCTTTTCTTTCCAACCGTGGTTTCTTTTATTTTTATTTTTTATTTTTTTTATTTCCTTAAGTAATCTTTACACCCAGCGTGGGGCTCTAACTCACGACCCCAAGATCAAGAGTCCTGTGCTCTACTGACTGAGCCATGTGTATGTGTGTATGTATTTATTTAATTTTTAATTTTTTTCTTTTTCACCCTGATGGGATTTTTTTAGATTTTATTTATTTATTTATTTAGAGAGAACACAACTGAGGGGAGGGGTAGAGGGAGAGGGAGAGAGAGAATCTCACACAAACTCTGCGCCAAGCGTGGAGCCCGGTGCAGGGCTCGATCTCATGACCCTGAGATATGACCTGAGCTGAAACCAAGAGTGGGACTGAGCCACTCAAGTGCCCCTCCTCATCCCGTTTTTTTAAAAAACCACATTGTTTCTTTTAGCTTTATTTTTCGTGTAAAAATGAAATTTCACTGTGAAAAAAATTGAGCACTACAGAAAAGCATTGAGAAGAAAAATACATTGGGAAAAAGGTGTTGTTTTTTATTTTCCACATAAACAGAACCAACCTTAACAGACACCTCACTGAAGAAAATATACAGTTGTCGAGCAAGCGTATGAGAAGATGTGCCGCATCATATATCACCAGGGAAATGCACATTAAAACAAGAAGGAGAGGGCGCCTGGGTGGCTCAGTTGGTTAAGCGACTGCCTTCAGCTCAGGTCATGATCCCAGGGTCCTGGGATCGAGTCCCGCATCGGGCT